TCACTGCAACCTCTGCCTCCCCGGCTCAAGCAATTCTCCTGCCTCAGCCTACCAAGTAGCTGGGATTACAGGCGCCCGCCACCATGCCTGGCTAATTTTTGTATTTTTAGTAGAGACAGGGTTTCACCATGTTGGCCAGGCTGGTCTTGAATTCTTAACCTCATGTGATCCACCTACTTTGGCCTCCCAAAGTGCTGGGATTACAGTCTTGAGCCACAGTGCTTGGCCTGGACCTGTTATTTATGGAGACATAATTTTATGTTGTGTCTCCCCACCTCTACCTTTATAAATTTAACTTAGTTTAAAAAATATCATTACTTGCTATAGTTGTTGCTGAAATGTTTTGCAGCCCTCTCATTTGTCATTTCTAGTGGCAGTATATTCCATTGCATTGGTAGACTATTCTCCCCCACAGACAAACCTCCGGGCTATTTCCAGATTTTAGCTCTAATATATAGCTGCAGCTATAAATACCTTTGTAAAAATTTTTCCTTTTGAATTATTTCTTCATGATATAGTGCTCAAACTAGAAATGCTAGAGCATAAGCTGTCATTTAATGACTTTTGTCTTAACAGAATTCCTTTCTGAAAGACTGTACCAGCTTAATGTGCTATAAGCAACACGTAACCAAATCCACACTCTTCTGTCAAATTAAAGCTAGTGTCAGCTTTTTCTGCCTAATAGATGTGAGGTGGTACTTTAAAAATTGTTTTAAGGTACATGCCTGTAAACCATTCTTGTAGGATGTTCCTCCATTGTTTTACCATGAGTGAACACTGTGTGACTGTCCTTATCCTCTGTCAGACATGGATGATAGGATATTGGAGACAGGGTTTTATCTCGATAGATTTTTATTAGCTCCCTAAAAGTTTTAGAGATAAAACTTACATCTATAGTGTTAGTTAAAAATTTTCTCCTACCCTGTTACTCTGTGTTGCTTTTAATCTTTTTTCCCTTTATGTAGCATTTCAAATTTAATAGCACTAAACTCAAATACTTTATAATTGATACATTTCTATTGTTTCAATAGAATAATTTCTATTCCATTTCAGTTGGGAAATTATCTCTGTTCTTCATTGAAATATGTATATGTTTCGTTTTCTTCTAGTTAAACTTTTAAATTCACAATCATATTTTTTGGAATTTATTGTGGTATGAGATGACAGTCTAAATCAGTTTTTTGCTCTATTGATATTCAGTTATCAACAGCATTTATTATTACTATTTTAATGAGTATTTGAATATTACTCAGCCATAAAAAGGAATGAAATAATGTCTTTTGCAGCAACTTGGATGGAATCGGAGGCCATTATCCTAAATGAAGTAATGCAGGAGTGAAAACCAATACTGCATGTTCTCAACTTATAAGTGGGAGCTAAGCCATGGGTACACACAGGCATACAGAGTGGTGTAATAGACATTGGAGACTCAGAAGGGAGGAAGGTGGGAGCAGGCAGAGTGATGAAAAATTACCTGTTGCATACAATGTCGCTATTCAGGTGACTGGTATACCAAAAGTCCAGACTTCACCATTATACAATTCATCCCTGTAACCAAAAACCACTTGTACCCTAAAGCTATTGAAATTAAAAAATTTGAAAAAAAGAAAAATTAGAAAATATGTAAAAGTATAAAGGAGAAAATAGAAACACTCAAAGTTGGCTATCTACAGTTAACTATGGGTGTTTTATTTTACCCTTTCAGTGTTCTTTCTAGCCATGCATATTCTTATTCCCTCTCTCTTTTCCTTTTAATAAAGTCAGGAATGTGCTTTACAAACCTAATGGCACTTATTAAAGTGATTTCTTTCCTTGGTTTCCAGTTTTCTGTTTGTTATATCTTAAATTCATATCAGTTTGGGCCATTTCTTGCTTTCTTTTTTTAAAATCAAAGACAGTTGCTTATTGCTTATTTCTGATTGAACAGAATATGCTTCCTAGGAATGCACTTATTAGAAATATAATTCCCACCACTTTGGGAGGCTGAGGCAGGCGGATCACCAGGTCAGGAGTTCAGGACCAGCCCAGCCAACACAATGAAATCTAGCCTCTACTAAAAATACAGAAAATTAGCCGGACATGTTGGCAGGCACCTGTAGTCCCAGCTACTTCGGAGGCTGAGGCAGAGAATCACTAGGCAGAGGTTTCAGGGAGCTGAGATTGTGCTACTGCACTCCAGCCTGGGTGACAGAGTGACACTCTGTCTCAAAATATACATACATATAAATAAATATATATATATATAAAATTGCTCTTTATCAACACTTATTGATATGCATAAGGTATTGGGCAAATGAAAACAGTACCTGACATATTGTAAGCACCACATTAAATGTTGGTTAAATAAATTATAATTGGAATCATGATCCAGAGAGATTTATAACATTCTATATCATTTAAAAATAGTATTCAGTTGGCCAGGTGTGGTGACTCATGCCTGTAATGCTAGCACTTTGGGAGGCCAAGGCAGGAGGATTGCTTGAGGCTGGGTGTTGGAGACTAGCCTGGGCAACATGCATATATACTTACTACAGTGAATACATAGCTGCCTCTAGAGAGGGAGAAAGTCTTGGCTAGGGGTTTCAAGAAAGACCCACTTTTACAGTTGTTAACCTTTCATATTATCTGTGTTTTCTTTTTTATCCTATGTATTTCTTACTTTATTAACCAAAAATAATTCTATGCAAATAAATAACACTGGGGAGGCAGAATATTATTTAGCTAGAAGTAAATTAAGTATCTTCTCTCTGCCTGCCAAAATCATTCTTTCTAACCTATGTCCGTTAGAATCTTGAAAGCTGGACTTGCTTGCTGGCTTTTAGTAAAAGGTGGTAAATGTGAAGGTATAAGTAGAGGCTGGAAGAAATGAGTGTATTTCTCCCTGGCCAGCGAATTTCCAGGCAGACATGGCAGTTATCACTCTGTGTCCCAACCAGTGTACCTTCTTTTCCCTATTGCCTATTAACCCATCCCCAAATGGTGCTATACCTGCTGCCTGTGTGCTCTCTTCTTCTCTTACTGCTGTTAATTCAGCTCACCCAGAAAGTACTATTGACACTCGCTCGCCAATGTTTTGAAGAATTTAAAACGCATAGAAAACTTGAATGAATTAATTGTACCGTGAACACTTACATATTCACCATCTAGATTCTATAATTAATATTCGGCTATATTTGCTTTATCATGCATTTCAAAATAAGTTACAGATATCAGAATATTTACCCCTAAAGTCTTCAGTATGCATGCATATCATTGACTAGAGTATATTAGTTTATGGGTTTTTTTTTTTTTTTTTAAGAAAAATATATATACAATGAATTTATATTTGAGTGAACTGCACAAATCTTGTATATCATTTGAGGTATTTCTTTTCTTTTTTGTATAATTAGAGAGGGGGGTCTTATTCTGTTTCCTAAGCTGGAGTGCAGTGGTGGAATCACTGCTCACTGTAACCCCAAATTCCTGGGCTCAAGTGATCCTCCCATCTTAGCCTCCCAAAGTGTTGAGATTACAGTTGTGAGCCACCACATCCTGCACATTTGATGCATTTCTGACAAATGCATATATATTTTTATAACCCAAACCCTTTCAAGACTTAAATATAGAATATTACCTCAGAAAGTTTCCATGTGTTCTTTCCTAGTTAGTCTCCAGCCCTACCCTGGTGGTAATCACTGTTCTGATTTTTTTCTTTTTTTTTTGGGAGACGGAGTTTCGCTTTTGTTACCCAGGCTGGAGTGCAATGGCGCGATCTCGGCTCACCGCAACCTCCGCCTCCTGGGTTCAAGCAATTCTCCTGCCTCAGCCTCCTGAGTAGCTGGGACTACAGGCATGCGCCACCATGCCCAGCTAATTTTTTGTATTTTTAGTAGAGACGGGGTTTCACCATGTTGACCAGGATGGTCTCGATCTCTTGACCTCGTGATCCACCCGCCTCGGCCTCCCAAAGTGCTGGGATTACAGGCTTGAGCCACCGCGCCCGGCGTTCTGATTTTTTTCACCATAGGTTAGTTGTCTCTCTTCTCAAGCTTCATGTAAATGAAATCATACATTATGATCTCTTTTGTGTAAGATTTATTTTATTCAACATGATGTTTCTGTGATTCATCCATATTACAATGTGTATCAGTACTTCTTTCCTTTTTTTGCTGAGTAGTATCCCATTGCATGAACCTACCCTAGTGTGTTTATCCATTCTCCTGGATGCCTGGGCTGTTTACCACTTTGGGCTATTATAACTAAAGTTCCTATGAACATCCTTATGTAAGTCTTTTTGTTTTTCTAAGGTTATTGCTAGGTCATAGAGTACATATATGTTTAGATTTATAATAAACTGCCAGACCTTTTCCCAAAATGGCTGTACTGTTTTGCTTTCCCACCAACAATATTGGAGAGTTTCTTCCTGGTCTTCCAAAAATATATGAACAGATACACAGAAGACTTCCTCATCAGGGTACAAACTCTTTGTCAGATATACATTCTGTGAATCTTCTCCCAGACTACAGTTTGTGTATTCACTTTGGTGAACGGAGATTTTGGAGTTGATGAGTCTGATTTATTGGATTTTTCTGTTATTGCTTTCTGTGTCCTAAGAAGTCTGTGTCTGCCTTCTTAGAAAGATATTTTTATATATTTTCTCCTGGCAGCTTTATAGTTTTAGATTTTAAGTTTATGATCTGTTTTGAATTACTTTTCCTGTATGGTGTGAGGTAGGGGTCAGGGTTCATTTCATTGTTTTTTTTTTCCATCTGGATATCCAGTGGTTCCAGGATTAATTGTCATCCATTCTCCATTCGATTGATTTGACATCACTGTGTACATTTTTAATCGTTTAAAGGACAGGCTTTTCTCCTTGGCTTTCTTGGTTAGTCAAGTATGGCGAGAGAACAGTTACTCCTTCCTGGTCTCCTAAACTGTTTACTTGTATTCTGAATGCCCTGAATTTTCTGTGCTTGGCAATAAGTTGTAGTGATTGGATTATCTGTTCTGTCTGGACATAGGATGACCAGTGTCCCAGTGAAGGAACGGGTGAAGGTGTCTCAGAACTGGAGACTGGGGCGCTGCCGAGAGGGGATTCTGCTGAAGTGGAGATGCAGGCAAGTAGCCTCTTGACTTTTTTGAAGCTACCTGGGACATAAAAGCATAATGGAAAGTAAAAAATCTGGTCCTACCTAGAGGCTAATGGGGCTATCTTGGGTGACGTGGCACTGGTGAGCCTTTGAACACCACAAAGGGGGCATCAGGACAACTTTTTTTTACATTTCAATGAGGGAATATAAGAAATGTACTTTAACAAATGACATTTTTTATGATTATAAATAAATCAATGTTTATCATAGAAATTTGAAGAAAAAGAAAATTCTAAAGAAGAAAATAAAACTAACTTGTAACTCCACCACTCAGAGGTAACCCCTGTTAACTTTCACCATCAAAGGAAATAAATGAAATCAAGGTCCCAATTCATCTTATTTTACAAATATTTTTCTTTAAATCTTCTACTTTATGGAGTTACTTCTTCATTCTTAGCTTTCTTGAGTCCTCTCCCCTACTATATTAAAAGGAAGGGTAGGATCTAAAGGTTTGGATACATGTGTTACAGGAGTTAGAGCTTAGAGCAAGTGTCAGGAAATTTAGAAAATGCCTGTGGCACTGCTAATGCCACCAATTTTTATGCTTCATTGATGCTAAATGATTTCATAGTTATTATTTGACTCCCTACCAAAAAATTACTCCTTGTTGATTGGTTGCAATGGTTAGGGAAAATCGGGAGTCCACATATTGGAATGACTTGTACCTGTGCGGAAGACACAGGCAGTCCTCCTCATCTGATGAACCTTTCTTTCTTGCTTGTGTCCAGTTTCCACTGGTTTCACTGGCATCAGATGCTGTGAATTATGTGGTAATGGGTAGTGGTGGTGGTGGTGATGGTAAAGAAACTACAGGAGAGAAAGATGGGTTTTTATGATGAAGGTCTTTACCCTCTGCTTCCCACATTTGCCTTTTGGGGCAAGTTTCAAACAGTTTGGCAAATAAACACAGAACAGTTACCAGGCTGCCCTGGGATTCTCCACTGTTCACCTGGCATGAACCTGGTTTCTTGTCCTAGGCAAATGGCTGTTTACCAGATGGCTCTAAACACAAAAATTCCCACCCTCTCTGTTTGTTGCCTGCTTGAGTATACCACACACTCACGCAAGGGGGTGTTGAAGAAGAATGTGCATAATGAGTGAGAAAGCAGGGATCTGTACACACTCTACACATGTTCCGTGTAATATATGCACACACTTGTAAAAACCTCATGAGCAGAAACTCAGTTACTACAAAGTCTAAGCTGCATTTAATGGCCCGTCAAGTCAATTTGCAGAACTTTTCCACATTCCCATGACGCTTGTATTGAGTCTGGGGAAGAAACACAACCCAGTTTGCTCAGACAGGCTTGGCAATAGGAGATGGTGGCTCTGTTCATGGGGATGAATCAGCTGTCCCTGTACTTTTCTTGGGACCTGGTAACTCCAGGACCTCTATGTAGAATAGGATGGGTGGGATGTCCACCTTGGGAAAGGGGCTTAGTTTCCACCAGAGAGGCTAGGATCTGACAGAGTTTTCTTTCTTCTTAAGGCTCATTCCCTGCCACAGGACTTGCCTGTGGCTTTTAGCCTTTCTTTCTCCTGTCAGATTGTAGAGGGAATCTTTAACTATTTGTGGATTTCTCTTATCAGTTGCCTGTGAGAGCTGACTTTTTCTGTAGCCCCTGAACTGTAGCAGAATGCTCTGGGGCTGTGTTTTTCCATTGCCACACTTACTCTCTAATACAGAAATGTAGATATCCCTGTGAGGATCTGGGTATCTAATCAGTACTTTAGCATCCTTTCCTAAATGGCTTTATTCCTTTCACTTATAAATGGCCCTGTAGCTCTAACAGAACAAGAGAATGGGGCTTCCCAGGGTTTATTCTACTCTTTTCTCCATCATACTTTAACTGATCTATTGTGAAAGAGGTATGTATGGGAGTCCTAGAACCTTGAAACTTCCCACTTATACTTTAAATCAGTGAAGATGCAGAATGAAAGAAAGCTATTTCACCTGGCTAGAAGATTTTTTTTTTTTTTTTTTGAGATAGAGTCTCCCTCTGTTTCCCAGGCTGGAGTGCAGTAGCACCATCTTGGCTCACTGCAAGCTCCGCCTCCCGAGTTCAAGTATTCTCCTGCCTCAGCCTTCTGAGTAGCTTGGATTACAGGTGTGCCACTATGCTCAGCTAATTTTTGTATTTTTAGTAAAGACAGGGTTTCATCATGTTGGTCAGGCTGGTCTTGAACTCCTGACCTCAGGTGATCCACCTGCCTCAGCCTCCCAAAGTTCTAGGATTACAGGCATGAGCCACTGTTCCTGGCTGAAGATTTTTTTTTGACCCTTCTTACCTCTTGACCATTGAATTTTGTAAGCTCTGACTACCCATGAGAAGTCCAGGTAGCCAGTAATTGAAACATTAAGTATTCTCCAATTAAAGTGGTATTAGTTGGTCTTTCAATTTTGAATCTTTTAGAAAGTCCAAGGAAGATTAGATCACCACAAAACTCAGTCACTCTAGTTTTCTGAGGGTAGCTGAGGGGTAGGTAATTTTGAAGGAGAGTATCAAGTATAGATAATTAGCCTTGTTGGTTATCCTTGCTAAGTTGGGGATTGGTTAGTCTGTTCAAAGATTGGAGTTGAGTTTTCATACTGTATCTTGATAACTTTTAAATTTTCTTTTCCATCATTTCAGTCAGATGCCTTGGATGCAGCTAGAGGATGATTCTCTGTACATATCTCAGGCTAATTTCATCCTGGCCTACCAGTTCCGTCCAGATGGTGCCAGCTTGAACCGTCGGCCTCTGGGAGTCTTTGCTGGGCATGATGAGGACGTTTGCCACTTTGTGCTGGCCAACTCACATATTGTCAGTGCAGGAGGGTAAGTGCTGCAGGTTTTTCTTTCCACCCTTTTCCATCTTATTCTTCAGGGACATTCTGCCTGCCTCTGACTTTTCTGTCTTAACTCCAAAAAGATGAGGAGGGAGACCAGAAGTGTTTTCCACTTAAAGCAGAGGGATTTTACCAAAAACAGTTAATAGGGTTAGCTGGAGAAGGAAAACAGTAAGAGCTTCTAATAAAAAGTGAAGCTGGTTTTGATCTTCTCCAGGGGAAAATTTATTTTGTCTCTCAGCTCTGTTCAGCCCCAAGTGTGCTGAAGAAGTAAAGGTATCTAGAAACTCAGCATCTTACTGGGCTGAATTGCCTAATGCTTAGCAAATTTGGATGTCATTGGAGACTTGGGCTGTTTCTGGAGAGTTGTTCTGTTCCTACAGAGAGAATAATTGGTTTTTCGGGGGTCGGCTCCTTATTTCTCTCCTAGAGATGGGAAGATTGGCATTCACAAGATTCACAGCACCTTCACTGTCAAGTACTCGGCTCATGAACAGGAGGTGAACTGTGTGGATTGCAAAGGGGGCATCATTGTGAGTGGCTCCAGGGACAGGACGGCCAAGGTGAGGTGGTCTCCCCCTTACATGCTATTACTCCGTCCTCTCTATAGGGAGTGGGGTGGATAGAGCCCTGAGTCCCAGGATTGGCTGAGAGCATTGGCTGGGGGCAGGGGAGAAAATGACACAATAAAGGACTCACTTATGTGCCTCTGGCATGCAGCTTGCCATGCCAATCGTTGTCCTCGCCAGCTGGACTGGGAAAGGAGTGGACAGTGGCTGGGAAGGTTGCCACTCACTTGCAATGTGGCGTGAACTCAAAAACAGAGGACCTGGCAGCTTTTCCTCCCTGAGTTGTGTTTCCTCAAGTTTGTGGGTTGAGTTCTGACCCTAATATTTTATTTTAAAATCTCCCTCCTTTTGCTTGCTCTCTGTTTAGGGAGGTTAATTTTTCACCACCTTGTTTATAAGCAATCAGGCTGATAATTAAAATGTGTTTTCACTGCTTCTCTGGAGAGTGATGTGGTCAGTAAGCAGTAGAGACGATGAGAGAGGGGTGGTGGTTGTTGCATCTTTGCCAAATTGCCCGGTCCACAGATACCCACCAAAGCATAAAAGAAAGTGAGGCTGATAAATAGCATGATCCTTACTTCATGGACTCTTCTATGTCTGGGTCAGATAGGCTCCCACCTGGGAGACAGAGAAATCTTTCTCCAGGCCTGTGTCCAACAGCCCTAGCCAGGGCCTGCACAGGCCTGGTCCTTTAGGGTTGCTGCAGGAACTTTGCTGACAATTCAGTTGGTGGTGCAGGAGGCCCAATAGTGTCTTGTGTATTTCCTAGTATCTAGGTTCCATTGTGCTAACAGGAGCAAAATGCTTACTGGTGTGTCAGCAAATGGGCCTCTAAAACACATAGGGAGAGGACTCAGGAGAGGGAAATTGCAATCTTTACTCAGAAACTTCTCTGACTACATGTACCCTCTGGTAATTACACATCCATATAGAAATATTGCTAATTTATGTAAAAAGAAGGGCTAAATATGTTCTCTTCTTTTTATGGAAGTTTCTCCTCCCTTTACTATTTTCTTCCTTATTTTGTACTCCGTCAGAGAGAATGAACAGAAGCACAGAAAGCTTGAGAAAAATGCAGCAACTCTTTTGAACCAACACGAAACTGAATTTCCTGTCATTTGCTTCCTATTACCTTTCTTCATACTGAGGCTTCTGATTGGTCACTGTCTTTGTACCATTCCTTGAAAAGATCCTGGCCTAAACCTGTTATACTGCTTAAAAGCCAATTTGCATAGAAATCTTCTGTGGCATGTGTGACCTAGGTATTCCTGTCTTATTCTAGCATCTTCCTGTCATGGCTTCAGGCTTCCCCAAGTTCCTCCTTTTCAGTGACACCTCTTTCTTCTGTTCTCCGTGGTCTGATACCCAGAGCAGTATAAAACCAAGCTTTATAACCACAGGTAGCAATTTGAGGGCATGGATTGCTTCCAGGTAAAGAATAATAGCAAATTTATTTGAGGTATTGGGTTAGTTTCATGTTTAAGTACTGATTTAGCCCTATTTAGTATCTTAGATTTTTTAAAAGATCTAACATAGATACTTCCTTCTAAAATTGTCACCACAGTCCATCTTCTTCCTTCTGAGGATTTCTTTTAGGTCAGTGACAGAACCCTCTTCTCTGGTCCTGAAAGCTGGTCAGCTGTTTTGTGGCTCCCCTGTGACCTCTCTGCCAACTTGTCTTTCCTGGCTCTCCAGATGCTGCCTGGGTTTCCCTCCTCTCTGTTGTTATCTTTGCATCCAGCCACCTTTGTTATCCTGAGCCATTTCCACATCAGTGTACCCAGTTTGTCTTTTATAACTGAAACATCATTTCTTTTCAGTGGCATCTGAAACTCTACAGCTGCTTCTCCAGGCTTCTAATACACCTGAACCTTCATAAGAATTACAATATTTGCCTGTAACCATCTATTTTTGGGGAGTTCCCCGAATATACACTGTATTTTAGGAAAGAGATTTATTTTATGGGGTAAAGGGAAGTAAAACAATCTCTTTGCAAGACATCGGAGCTAGGGACTGTCCAGAGAACCCTATTCCTTCCCCTGCCCGCAAGCCCAGTTTCACATTTACTGTGACTTACTTAGCTTGGATTGTGTCTCTGGGCTTTAGTGGGGCCAGCCCCACCTTGAGATATGAACAGATGGTAACTTATGTTCTTAATGAGCCTGGGCTGGTACTAACCATTCCTTCATTTCCTCCTTTATTTCTCTATTCTTTCTTACGAGTGCCTACTGTGTGTGAGGCACCTGGCCTCTTCAGAGGTAAAGGAGACACAGCCTTTTATCCTTAGGGTGAGATGAGATGTGTGTACCTGGCCATGCAGCTGATTGAAAGTGGCTGGGACTGTGAAGTATAAAGCTCTAGGGAAAGAGCCAGAAAGTTTAGAGGGTGGAGAGATCAGATTACATCTGGCTTAGAAGGGAAGATTTATTGTAATAAGAACCACCATTATTGTTTGCCTGATACCTGCCAAATTCTGTGCTGCTGTGCTAGATGCTTTGTACTTATCTCCACTTTTCCACACTATAACCCTGAGATAGGCATCATTTCCCATTTGACACATGAGGAAACGGGAGCTAAGAAGTTATCCCTAAGATCAAAGATAATAACAACTAGGGTTCAAATCCAGATTGGTCAGATGCCAAAGCCTATGCATGCTTTCTCTGCAACTGCAGGCTGCAGGTAATATTTTACTATTTAGATTTTTCTTTGTTTTAGGATTATTTTCTTAGGATAGATTTTCAGCAACAAAATTACTGAGTTAAAGGCTTTGGTCATTTTAAAGGTTATGATGCATATCACCAGTCTGCTTTTAAAAAGAAATGTATAAATGTCTACTCCCACTGAATCTTTTCTAGGGATGGATCTGTTTTGAATTTGGCCATGGAAGGCAAAGATAGGATCAGCATATTGTTGTCAACGCCTGTCCCTCAGGTGCCAGGATGGAATCTCATGTTTGAGGATGATGTGCTGCTGGGCCAAGCCAGGAGGGTCACTTTCCTAAGATCATGTTCAGAATTGGTGGCATGCTTCCTAAGCCACTCCTGGAGACCAGGAATCTTATTTTGTCTTTTGCAGAATTTAGGAATCAATCTTCCCTTCCGTGGAGGACATTAGTGAATTCAGGCCTAGGCTGTCCCCACAGATTTTATAATCGGAGTCCTTAGTGTCTCCTCACCCTTTCAGCAAGAATCTGCCTCCCAGGGAGTTTGTGTCAGGGAAAAGGCAAAGCTCTCTTCTTAGCTGGGCTGCCTAAAAGAGTACATTGAAAATGTATCTAGTTATTGCAAAGGGGACTGACTATGGAGTCCAAAGAGTAGGCCTGAATCATGGCACTCAGGAAAAGTTGTGGTGTTTACCTTTGTTTTCTGCCCCTCCTCATTTAGGATCTTCTTGTTACGTTTATTTTCTTTTCACTGTGTTGGGAAAAGTAACTCACACAATCCTCCCATCCCCCACCCCCATCATACACACAAGCTCTAAGAAACACTTTCTCCTTTTATAGGGAAGAGTTATCATGTGACCCTAAGAAGGCAGGACCACCCCCTCTCCATCACCTACCCTTTAAACTTGAGGAATGTTTTCTTTAAAGTTCTTCCATCTAAGGTCCTGCCTGAGTTTTGTGTGTTCCCCTTATAGCACTGCTGGGACCTTAAGAGGTCATTGATCCATCTGGCTGCCTCTGGATCCCTTTGTGGCTGCTGTCTCGGGATAGTCCTGTACATTCGAGGTTTCCTTTCTGTTTGGTTAGAGGCTTATGTCCCTGTGTGTGTCATCTAGAGTAGGGTGAGGTGAGGGGGAGCCCTGTGCTTAATGGGAGATGTCTAAATGCACTGACTGCTGAGAGGGCTCTGTGAGTGTTGATTAGAGTTAAGCTCAGAGTGGCTGCTAATGTACATTCCTGACTGATAGGGACCAGATAATGTGCTCCAAGCAATATTTTTAACCTGTAGGAGATATGGAAGCTTAACAGAGTTAAGCTTTTCTGCTACTTTTGGTGACACTAGGTGCTAAATTCCCTGCTGACGTGAATAGTATTGGATCCTGGGCATTATCAACAAACAAACAACAACATACCACCTTCCCACTTGGAAGTCTCTCTTCTTCTTCCATTCTTTCCTTCCCTTGCATCTTTCTTTTTACTTCTCTCTCTAATTCTATTGCTGTCCCCTCCATACTGTGCCTTGATCTTCCTCCCTCTCCCTGCTTCTCCAGAGTAAAATCTTGGTGAGAGATAGGAGAAAGGAAAATCCACAAATATAGGAAAGCTGCCAAAAGAGGCAAGCCCCACCCACCCACTACTTCTCAGTCAAGTCTCAGCTGAGGAATGTGGAACTTCTGATTCCCCGATATAAAGTTGCCTGGTAAGTAAGGGTTGTCAGTGGAAGTAAAAGAGGGTGGTTAGGATGGAGAGCTAGGGCCTATCTGGGTGGGTAGGTGAGCCAGAAGCTGCAGGGGGCCCTCTGCTGATACCTGAGCTCTGTGTGTGCAGGGCAGGAAAGATGCCCCATTTCTCTACCTCCAATAGTCACCCCTCCTGGAGCACCTCTCCTCCCCACTGATCCCAGGTAATGCCAATGAGAGCATCTCCTCTCCTGTTTCCAGGTATGGCCTTTGGCCTCAGGCCGACTGGGGCAGTGCCTACACACCATCCAGACTGAAGACCGAGTCTGGTCCATTGCTGTCAGCCCATTACTCAGGTAAGGGAGACATATTTGGATGTGGTTTTCTCTTGTATAATTATGCTTTTATTTTACTAGATCAGATGAGCTAGAAAATCTTCCACTTGTGTATTCTAGGTTGCTTTGAGCCACCGTCTTGGAGATTTTTTAATCCTCCAGAGATTTGAGGTGTTTAGGTCGCTTCATATGTGCGTGGGATTGAGATAAACTTCTAAATGTGAATTTCCTAAGCATCTAACCTCAGAAATATTAAGGAAAGAATATATGAATATATAAGAATATGACAAAGAGTCCAGCTGTTACCAGGAGTGTCCCTTCTGAAACAGTTGTCTTCTGGGGCTATTCCCAAAGCAGAGGCCTCTCACCACCTCTCGGAGCTGACAGCATCCAACTTGCTCTCACAACTCACATGTCTGCTTTGTTCCCCTTGGAAAATGTCCTCTGGAGTATCCCTTACAGACTTAAGTCATCAGGAGAGGCTTGGGGCCCAGATCCAGCTGGGTCCTCAAACAAAGACATGTGTGGAGAAGTAGTGACATTGATTATTGTAGCAGAAGTGTGAGATTTTGATGATGGATTTACCCTAGCCTTTGGCCTGACAGTTACTTCTCTCTATCTCTCTCTTTTTTTTATTTATTTTATTTTTTGAAATGGGGTGTTTCTATGTTGACCAGGCTGGGTTTGAACTCTTGGCCTCAAGTGATCCTCCCATCTCGGCCTCCCACTGAACCACTGTACCTGGTCCTGACTGTTAGTTCTCTAACCTTACCTATGAACAAGTTAGGTTTGCATCCGACTCCCACTTTTGAGGCCCTCTGGAACCAAGACAATCCCTCTCCTTCCCAGCAGGGTACATAGACTTTGTTGTACCTGTTCTACCACAATATTTTCCTAGGGTCTTCATCTACTTCCTTTACCCTTCACTCCCTACTCACATGGAAATGTGAAAGCTGTAGGGCTGCCACCCTCCAACACTAGGTTTAAGTCACTCGCTTATTTTATAAGAGACTTGGCCCTACCCACTTTGCTTAGGCCCTTCAGCTTCTTTCTCCTCACCCCATGGAGCCTGCACCCCTCCTCCTGCTCCCTTCCACAACTCCCTTTCAAATTTTTTTCTTCCTAAGAATTAGAGCCGATTAGCCACGTCATTAATTCTTCAATTTGACGGCTGATATAGCAGGACCTGAAACACATTGCTGACCCCAGAGAATGGAGACCCCGTTCCTTAGCATATTGACGATGGGAGAAGTTAATTAAAATTCCACAGAGCAGAGGTGTCGGCTAACCTATAAACCTGTCGCTGTTCAAAACAAATCATTCTAGCAATCGTAGGAAAGAGGGAAGGAAAGACCAGCAGGGAGTGGAGAAGCTAAGTGTGTGGGAGCAGAGGGTAGAAAATGGAGCCATCGAGCTTTGTCTCCTCCTCATTTTCTTCCTAATGCTGCCCTTTTGAAAGCCAATTAGCCAGACCTGGGCATCCATGGGCTGGATAGAAGGAAAGTACCATGGCCAGTGAGAAGTGACAGGTGTGCTAGTGACTTTGTCTTAATGGTTGCGGTTGCTTGTGGACTTCTGCTGGTTTCGGGAGACTGGAGTGGATGGTGGTGGTTGAGAGCTCTCAGGGCGGGAGATGGTCTGTGTGCTTCCTGCGTATGGATTGAGGCCAAAGAACACAAACAGGCTCTGCCCTGCACCCCTACCCTACATTTCTCTAGCCTCCTGCTCTGGAATGTTAGGCTACCTCTTAACAGAATAGGGCACAGCAACTATTGAAGATGGTGTCAATAAAAGATTGAGGACAGAGTCTTCCCTTCATCATTGGGAAGCATTTATGATCACAGTAAACTAAGGTTGGGTTTTTGGCCACAACTTGGAGACTGGCTCTGGGGACGGACCTAGCCTTCTAACATTACTACTGCTAGTATATGACTGCTGCTACTACTAGCAACTAACATTTACTAGTCATTTGCTCTGTGCCAGACCCTCTGCTAAGTCCTTGATGTGTCTCATCCTTGGTGAAGACCTGGGCTTTATGTTTTCTTCACAGTCTTCTTCAGGGCCTTCCTGTCCTCTTCTTGGGATGGTTTTTTTTTTTTTTTTTTT